ACCCTATTGAAATTTCTTCTCCTCCATTCTTCTCTTGGGATTTTGGGCACCCTGCACATGTGCCCAGCATGTTTTTCAAGCTGCTGGGTCTGGGACTCAAATTGTGAAGTCAGCCATGTGGTATCTTTAATCGCCATGCCACCAGCTGGCCTTGAAGACATTTGTCTATTGATAATGATTTGGATAGTCAAGGCCCTATTGACCTGCTGTTATAGGCTATGATGAGAAATATGTTTTTAAACAGAATTATTTAATTTTAAAATATATTATTATTATTATTCAATTTGACCAGAGAGAAAGAGAAAGTGAGAAAGCAAGCCACCAGGTTCAGGACTCAAACCATGGTCAGCCATTTGGGAGTTTAAGACCTTAACCACTATAGCACCTGCCTGCCCTGTGGTGAAAGATACTATCCCCCTGACAAGGTCATAACATTTCATTCATCCTCTACTCATACTAGTACTCAATGTGAAAGAGCTTATTCAATGCCAGACTCTCCACTAAACCTTTGCCTAAATGGAACATCTGTGTAGAGTCAATCCCACAGAAGACGCCCTTGACCTGATATTTGGCCATTGAGCTCTTAACGTGTCTTACCGAGTATTTACAGGTGTCGGGATACTGAGGTTGAAGGAGTGGTCCCTGACCCCAAGAAAGGGTCCCTGACCTTGGTCAGCAAAGGACAGTACAGAGTTAGGGAACACAAAATACAAACATGTCTTCACTCATGCAAGGTCTAACGGAGTGTGGGTCGATGACCAATTGCATATAACAGTGGTCCCCCTTTTTTTTTTTTTTTTTTAAACTTTTGCTGTAAGATGTGTGTACTTTCTGGAGAGAGACAGAGAGAGAGAGAGAGAAATCTCCCTCTAGGGAGGATGACCATATTGAAATTTCTTCTCCTCCATTCTTCTCTTGGGATTTTGGGCACCCTGCACATGTGCCCAGCATGTTTTTCAAGCTGCTGGGTCTGGGACTCAAATTGTGAAGTCAGCCATGTGGTATCTTTAATCGCCATGCCACCAGCTGGCCTTGAAGACATTTGTCTATTGATAATGATTTGGATAGTCAAGGCCCTATTGACCTGCTGTTATAGGCTATGATGAGAAATATATTTTTAAACAGAATTATTTCATTTTAAAATATATTATTATTATTATTCAATTTGACCAGAGAGAAAGAGAAAGTGAGAAAGCAAGCCACCAGGTTCAGGACTCAAACCATGGTCAGCCATTTGGGAGTTTAAGACCTTAACCACTATAGCACCTGCCTGCCCTGTGGTGAAAGATACTATCCCCCTGACAAGGTCATAACATTTCATTCATCCTCTACTCATACTAGTACTCAATGTGAAAGAGCTTATTCAATGCCAGACTCTCCACTAAACCTTTGCCTAAATGGAACATCTGTGTAGAGTCAATCCCACAGAAGACGCCCTTGACCTGATATTTGGCCATTGAGCTCTTAACGTGTCTTACCGAGTATTTACAGGTGTCGGGATACTGAGGTTGAAGGAGTGGTCCCTGACCCCAAGAAAGGGTCCCTGACCTTGGTCAGCAAAGGACAGTACAGAGTTAGGGAACACAAAATACAAACATGTCTTCACTCATGCAAGGTCTAACGGAGTGTGGGTCGATGACCAATTGCATATAACAGTGGTCCCCTATGATTATAATGAAGCTGACAGGGTCGTCCCAACTAGTGACCTAACTCAGGTGTTTGTGGTGATGCTGGTGTCAATGGACCTACTGCACTGCCAGGAGTGTAGAAGTCTAGCACACACAGTTATGCACAGCACGCAGTGCAGTCCCGTGCTGAACAGTGTTCCAGACAACGCTGGACTGCGCATGCGCAGCAGTCCCGCAGGCGCATACAGAATGCATGCGCAGCAGTCCCGCAGGCGCATACAGACCGCTGTACAGAGTCGAGGTGTGCGGTAGGCTGTCCCAGCTAGCTCTGGGCAAGTGCATGCTGTGATGTTTGCACAACAAATGGCCTCGTGAGGCATTTCTCTCGATGCTGAACTGTAGTTCAATATTTTTGTATCCTAGGGCTTTCAGCCTATTTTTAAATTATTTCTTTATTTAATTTTATTTGTTATTATTATTATTATTATTTTTTAGAGAGAGATTTTTGCTGTAGGGCATGTGCATTTGCAGGAGAGACAGAGAGACAGAAAGCTTAAACAAACAAACAAAAAACTAGATGAGACTTCCTCTAGCAACCTCTTGAACTGAACCTATTAGCAAAATGTTTATTCTGACAACCAGATTGAGGATCTTTCCTCAGAAGCATTTCTGTGGGTAAGAGCAAAATAGGGACCTGAAAAATCAATGACACGCAGGTGTCTATGAGTGTGTAAGAAATACGTTCCATTTTACATCTACGTGGTGAAGTTCTACTCATTTTCCTTTTTTCTTTTTAAATTATTTTACTTAATTTTATTTATTTATTTAAATTTGACGAGAGAGGGAGAGAGAGAGGAAGGAAAGTGAGAAAGCAAGCTGCCATGTCTGAGACTCGAACTGTGGTTAGTCATGTGCGAGTCCAGCACCTTAACCACCACACCACCTTCCAGCCCCTTTTCAGCCTATTTTAAATAAAAGCTATATAGCTTCTCCTCCAGAGGGGAAAAAAGCAGATTTTTCTGAGCACTGTGTGCCCAGAGCTTCACTCAACCTTGCCACAGTCTGGAAGGCAGACTGTATTGCTCCTATTCACAGATGCCCAAACCGAGGCTCAGCAAGGGGAAGTCACTGACCCCCAGCTAGGGGTGCAGGGCAGCACTGGCAGCTGGGCCTCCCGTCTTCTTCCCACTGCTCCACTATGCTTTCCTGGCCTTGAGCCCTTGTTGTCTCTCGTAGACAGGCACCCATGTTGCCTGGGAACCTCAGAAAAAAAACAGAGGGATTTCTTCTATGAGGATAATGGTGGCAGAAGAGGGGGAGGGTGAGCGACAGTGAAAAGATGGACAGGACGTTCTCTTGCTGGGTACTTATCCTACACACTGGGCACTCTAAAGCTCCCCACGAGGTACACACTTTATTGCTCACAGCAGCCTCCACAAGTGCACTGGCACTGCCCCCTGGGGCTTGGGCAAAGCTTTCTTCATGAAGGGGGTTGGCGGAGCAGGGGCTGCGGCATGGATGGAGATGAATGCACTTGGACATCAGTGTGACAGCTTATTCTCTGCTGTCCCTGCCTGCCCCACCCCAGTCCTAAACACAAACACATGCGCGTACACACGCACGCACACACACACACTCACACACTCCAGGGCTGACAGCTATTTCCTCTCTCAGTCTCACTCCCCTACCTCCGCCTGATGCAGCGTCTTGTCTAGTCCCTGCCAGGAGCAACCTGCCTCAAGGGCTGGAATCCTGTGACCCTTCTGTGCCCAGGTAAGGAGGCGGTGGCCCAGGGTCTTAAAAGCCCTAGTGCCCTCTTGGGACCCAAGGGAGAAGGCACAGTTTTACAACAGAGAGGACTATTCAAAACTGGAGGGGACTTGATGCTCAGAGGAGGGTAGGACTACATTTTCTTAGGTGTCAACTAGAAGCCAGGCATAATGGGTAAAGATTTCAGTCTCAGTCAATATCTACAAGCCATCTGGGTGGCTAGATTACATCAGCAGGCTTAGGGGCTTAAGGTAACTAACCATAGTTCACCCAGCCTGGGACTCAAACTCAGGTCTTGGACTCCCAAACTATGAGTTCTTTGCCCCCAGTTCTCTGCCAAAGTAAGACCCAAGCTACTGGGCTATCCAAGGATCCCAGGAGGCTGGGGACTGTCCCCATGAAGGCAGAGGGGCTGGTCTGGATGGTTCCCAAGCGTATGGCAGGACTGAGTTTTTGGAGTGTCCCTGTGGGACTTGGATAAGCAGCCGCTGGACTGAAGGGAGTGTTTCAGGGCAGAGGGGGGATGGCGCTGTCTGTCCATCTGTGGGAGTGAGGTCCCAGCCTCACAGCTGCGGCTGAGGAATACTGGGTAAGTTGCTGTGCTTCTCTGAACCTCCATTTCTCCTGAAAAAATGAAATCTCA